CCCCAAAACGGAGACTATTTAGAGAGAAGTCGGCGCAAATTCAATGAACTGTTAAACTATTAGGGTATTTATTTCCCCCGTAGGTCCAACCACTGAAATGCCACCCAGTTCAAAAAGTCAGGAGGATATGCCTGGAGTATTTGGTAAGGAACCTCCTCATATCAGCATCCGGTCTGTATCTGGAAGGGTGGGTGCTTGTCAGCGGGTGTTTCCCAGATAACCTGGTGCTCCTTGCACAAGGTGGAGGGGTGCAATTCAGTTTGAAGCTAGAATCACATTCCCCGTGGCCCTTAGCTTTAATGCTTACACCCGAAGAGTCAAACTCCCAAGAAGTTAAGAAAGAAGTAGAATTTTAGGCCTTTGGACCAAACAAGGGCCTTGGGACATCCCTTCTGAAAGTTAGGTCGTGAGCCAGCAGGGCTGAGTCACCGGGAGCTCGTTAGCAATGCCCAGAATCGGAATCGAGCCCTGCCCGAAGTCCCGCTGTGCTGGGAACCTGGGAGCTCACAGGGCTGTTCAAGAGAAATACAACGCAAGCCACAGATATTTTAAATTTTCTAGTAGCTGTATCTTTTTAGAAGAAAGAAACAGGTGAAACTAATTTAACCACATTTTATTTGATGTTACCATTTCAATGGGTAACCAACATAAAAGCACTCATGAGATATTTTCAGCGTTTTATCACACTGAGTCTTCAAAATCTGGTGTGCACTTTGCAACCAGAGGACATCTCCATTGGACCAGATACGATCCATGTGTGTCCACGTGGCCAGAGCTCCAGAGTCCGCCGTTCTGGTCCAACGCTTATCTTATATTTCATACAAGTGAAGCCTAGAGAAGCCCTCTGAGCTGAGAGAGGGGGCTCGGGGCTGGGAATTGGGGGTTCCCTTCTCTCTGAGAAGGAGCCTGGGAGCATGACGCTGGGCTGCCCTCCAGGCCTAGAAACTCAGACAGCAGAGTTCTGAGGACGACGCATGCCTGCCGGGTGACATGGACCCTTCCTAGGAGCGCCCTTGCCAGGACCCTGGGCTTCACCCCATTTCCAAGTCCCGTGTAGCAGAGGCTCGGGAAATCCCCTCTGACTGCCAGAGAGATGGTAGACAGACAGACAGGTAGATTGGCAGATTACATGAGCGAGTGAATGAATGAATGAATGTTCTAGTTCACTGTGGGGCGGCCACCGGCCGCTCACCTAAGCAATCCTGTCTCAGAATCAGAAGACGCGGTTCTGATGCCCGCAGGTTCCTTCCTGTCCCTGCAGCAGAGCCCGTCTGTGAGATGAAATGGTAACATCAGCTCTGTGTGGTTCAGGGTGTGGAGAGAACTCGGGTACACGGAGGACTCCGCCCCGCGCAGGGGTGCGTTAGACTCCCTTCAAACGCTACGTTCGGGTTAGGGAGACTGAGCTCTGGGCCGGCCTGGAAGGGCAACCGCGAGTCCCAGGAACCGGCCCGGCAGGAACGAAGCACCCCCAGGTCAGGAGAGGTGGTGGCCCATACTCCTAAATTTCCTGGCGGGTCTGACAGTCTCGGTACCCACAGGATTAGTCACCAGCACCCACTCCATCCCGTGGGC